TCCAAGGTCACGGTGCAATGAAGGAGGTGTGTAAGGTCAGCAGTTTGTTTCCTTACCACCTCGGTTAGGATTGGCTTATGCTCTCAGGTGTGGTTGGAGCATACTTATTTCGGAAAAGCGTGCCTGACCCAGAACATCTTTACTGTAGGTGGAATTGTTGAGCGGTGGGAGCCCTGCCAGGCGAGCAAACCTCTGCTCATTTCCTCAGCTCGGCGGTATTTCCATTGGAACGGTTTGGCTGTCAGCTGCCCTGTTTGCAATTCATGCCATAAGCGTTCAGCAGTTCTGTTTTCCTAAAGTAGCACTGGGAGCTGGGGTGTGCCTGCAGGTCAGCTGCCAGGAACCTCCTTGGCTGCCATGTCTGGGCAGAGCCTGCTTGCCAGCTGTACCAAGCACCAGGCCGTGCCATTTCCCATAGTCACGGGGAGCACGGAGGGTGGTACAGAAGGGCACGCACCATAGGGGATGTGTTCTGGATTATAAGCTGTGGGGTTTTGCATAATGCAAAGTGTGCGTGGTTGGCTTGGAGGAGTTGTGGCTTCAGCTTCGGGATGCAGTTTGCCTCCCTTCTACTGTGCCATGTGGATGGTACTCGGTGGAGACAGCCTCAGGTGAGCAAAAGCATGCCCGTAGTCACCGCTGCCTTAAAACGGAGTTGTGAACGCTGGGGTTGCCTTTCTCCGAGGCATTTCAGGACCTGGGCTTTGCCACGGTCCTGGCATACTCTAAGGATGCATACGAAAGTCAGTGTGTTTCAGAGAACATGACTGACAGAAATTGCTCCCCTCGAAGATGTGATTTTCGGGGTGTTCAGTTATTTTAAAGTGGTCGTTCAATGCAGTGAATATGTTACGTATAAATTGATGAGCTTACAGCGTGTAATTTGCATGGCAATCTAACTGAAGCTTAGTAGTGTTTGGAATGAAGGTTATTTCCTTGGCCTGTTTGTGCTTATTCGTGCTATTTTGATTAACTACTTTTGTTTTTTTCTTAAAAAGTCATAAAGATTAGCTAGAACGTTTGAGTTGTTCAGAAGATACATCTATCTGCCTGTCCAAGCACTTGTTACCAGTAAAATGTCCTACCTGTTTTGAGCAATACATGATCTGTCTCTTACATTTTGGAAGCAAATCTAGTTTTATTGTTTGCCTGTTTTCTTACAGAAGCTCTTGTTACAGGTAGATTAGTTGATTACTACATTTTTAATGAAGGACGATACTCTATTAAAGCATTTGGCCGGGATCACCGAAATGAGACTGGAAAGGCAATATCCCGCCGTCGAACGGTGCTGGTTCTGACTGCTGGTTTTTCAGGATTAAACAGCGAGCAAGGACTGTGGAAGCATTAACTGAACCCCTGTTACCAGTTTGATGGTTGTCAGGCTGGGAGGTGGAGTGCCGCGCAGCGTCTGAAGGTAACGGTTCTTTTGGAGGTCCTGTAATGCCCACCTGCAGCTGCCACCTCCTTTGTGGGTTGTGCCAGCCCGTGGGAAGTTAGGTGACGGCTGCTTTTTTTGGTGGTAGGAATTTCACTTTACAAGTAAAACAAATAGTATTGTGTTTTGTCCCTAATATTTACAGAACCCTCTGAGACTTTGTGTTGTGAGAAGTTTGGCTCTTGGTGTGGTTTACTGCCCCTTCCTCTGTGTTTTGGGGTGTAGAAACATCTTGCATTTAGGCAGCTGTGTTGGATGTAGTCGTCCCAGAACTCCCGGGAATCCTCTTTCTTTCCTTAGGCCCTAAAAATAGCAATAGCTAATAATAGCTGCAGGAATTGCTGCCACCAGGTGAAAAAAAAAATGTTTGCATGTTGACTGGATGAAGCATCCATATGCTTTGAATTGTGCTGCTCACTGCCTCTGTTCTGGTTTAAGCCAAATTTTTTTTCCTTCTGTTTGAAGGTTTGTTTCTCCTGCATGCCGTAGCCTTTATTTATTTTTTTTTTTTAAATTGTGGTGCCTTTTTTCTCCTCAGAATAGTGACTATTGCAAAAATCAGTAGCAGCCACCCGCCTCTCTTCCTGCTACGTTTGATTCACGTTTAGTTTCCGCTGTCTGTCCCGCATCCAGGTGCTGGTGGATACGTGCTCTCCTCTCTTTCTGTCCCCTGCTGGCTCAGTACTCGCTGGCATCTCTGCTGCTCCGTGCTGCCTGTTCCTCCCGTCTCCTCTTTCACTTAATGATCGCTCTGCACCTTCCTCTGAACTCCTGACATCGCTTTGACGTCCCGGTTAGTCCTTTTCGTGCAGACTAGGTGTCAAGAAACTGAACTCTGAACCGATTTGTCACCCTGTCCCTGGAGGACTCCTTCGCCCTCGGCCCCGCAACACCGCTCCTCTCTGTCCCGACTGCGAGTGCCTGTCTGCGGTCTCCTAGCCAGCCTGGTGTGGATGTTAGCAGTGAGGTCTTTGGGTGCAGAGACGGTGCCTTCTGCATTTTGTGGTGTCAGGGTTAGTGAACGCCGCCCGAAATCACCCACACGTGTGGGATTTCCTTGCCTTCCGAAGAAACGGTCACGGTGCTGCCTGCAGCACAGAGCAGCGCACGGAGCTGTGCTGCCTGCGGGGTGGCAGTTAATGGGATCTCCTCTGGTGGGGAGGTTTTCCAGTTGGCAGTTTAGCTCTTTGAGGAGGTAAAGTGAATAGAATTAATTTGAACTTCCTCTCAACAAGCCCTTGCGCTGGTGTTCCCCGCAAGCATCACAGGCTGCTTCTGTTTGTGTTTTAGGTACTTCCATTCAGCTAAGCATTTGGAAGAGAAAACAAATGCATTGCTTTTTGACATATCACCTAACCCTTTGCGTGATTAAGTAGGTCATTAATCAGTTAACAAGTAAAGATTAATAGACTAAAGCCTGAATCTCTGCGTGCCGGCGGTATGAGCTTATTTCTTTTTTTTTTTATAGTGAGAATAATTCAAAGATCTGCTGGTATTTTTTGTTTTAAGGGCTGTGCATGTAAAGATCTTCAAGTCTCCCCTTCCAGCAGTCTCCATGGAAGGCAGCAGCAAGGCAGAATCCTTGACTACTGCAGGGCTTCTTGCAGTCATGTGTATTTTATATATATTTCAAAGAGGAATTGAGCATTACATCTTGCTCTGAAAGGATTCTGTCTAACATTCAAACAATTTGGGATTGAAAACATGAGGAATTTCTTCTGCCTCACCAGACATTCAGTGCAAAGAAAATCTAAGTGTCTGTAAACTCCAAAGTAGACGTTTGGGTGAAGGGTCTGACCCTGGCTTGCTTGCAGAGCAAAGGCTTTGATGGCTAAGGGCAGGATTGTCCATATCCCTGTTCAGATAGGAAAAAAAATAATTTGAAAAAGTCTTTTTTTTTTTTGTGTTGGCTGTAAGTGTTGCTCAGCAAGTCAGAGTTTGCAGGATTGTAAGAGACAAGACCAACACCCAACTCAGCAGCGTCTGAAGGAAACCTCCATGAAACCTGCCATGGGTTGTGCCACCGCAGCGCATCTGCGCCGCGGCAAGGCAGATCTGCTCATCAGGCACCGCACCGCGCGCGAGAAGCTGCATGGGTTGCATCGTGGGCTGGTTCCTGTAGTGATGTCTTGAGTCTCCTGTGTCTTGAGGTGAATTCCCTAACTGCAAGGCCAGAGTTTGAGGTGGTGGTTTCAGTTTATTTTGTAAACTGACAGTCTGGAAACATGAGCCCGTGTGCTGGGCGAGCACTGGAGCTCTGTGGCTCCTGAGTGTTGCGTGCTTTGGGCTCCCAGCCAGCAGTCCTGTCATTTGAGTAGCATATTAAGTGCTCATGGAATATTTATATCTCCCTTAATAGGAGATATTAAGGATGGGAGACAATTCAGCTCTTTGCAAAAATAGATACTAACATGGATGTCAACAGGGTTTGGTGTCAGCACCAATGATTGCTGGTTTTGTTACCCACAGCATATGGGGTGTAGGGTGACACTGGCCTTCCTTCACAAAACCAGGCTCTTTTTGCAAGATGGGTCAACAGACGGGTCCTTGGTAGCTAGCCACGGTGCACGCTGTGCTACTTGGCTTCAGTGATCGTTTAATTTGTTCGGTTTGTTTTTTTTTTTTTTATTTGAAGTTGCCAGGGAGCAGCAAGAGCAGAGCTCACAAGGCAAGCAGGACAGACCTTGAGACGGTGGCCAGGTCCAACCAGAGTCCAGGCCATAAGGCAATGCTACAGTGATGAGGCAGGTCCAGGGTCAAGCTGGGAAGTTGATGTGTAGTTCAGAAACAAGAATTCAAGCTTCAGTACAACAAATCTGGGTCTTGCATGGTTAGAAATGAACAGGATGTACTCATCAGAACAGCCTGAACCCTTGTGCCAGATCAGTTATTAAAATGCCAGGACACCCAGCAAGGTGACTAACTGGCCAAGTGTGGATGAAGACCACCTAGGAATTGTGCGGGTCGTTATTTGTACGTGTGGGTTGGAGGGGAGTTACACATGACTAGATGGTTTCTGGATTCTGTTCACAAGTGGTTAATCGGATGCAGTCTGGTGCAGCAGGTAGCTTATGCTGTAGAAACTGCCTTGGTGATGTAAAAATGCCAGAGGAGGCTGGGATTGCCTCTTGCGTCTCTTGCTTCTGTCTGAGATCACAGCCAACTGCAGCAGCCCAAGTCACAACAATGCTGGGAGTTTTTCGACGGCTATAATTTAAATAAATTCCATGGAAAGTGGAGATCCCAATTCGGGAGATAATGTAGTGAGATAATGCCTACATCCCACTCCAGGTGTACTGCGTCACGAGCGCCGGGCGTTCCTCGGTCTGTTGCGTGAGCACGTGTAATTCCGTACAGCAGAACAGAAGTGAAGGACTTGCTGTAAGAAGAACTGCCTCGTCACTGGTTCTGTTCTTCAAAACCCAGCCTGTGCTCCGCGCCGTTCCAGCGAAACTGCTTTCAAACGTGGGGTTTGGTGACCAGCAGCAACAGGGTAAAATTAGAGACGTGGTTTCCAGCACTTGCTACGTTAACTCTTTTCCCTAACTTGTAGAAAATGCTTGCAGCATGATCTCGGAAAGGGACTCAGAGACCACCTTTGATGAGGATTCGCAGCCTAACGATGAGGTGATGCCCTACAGCGACGATGAAACAGAGGACGAGTTGGACAGTCGGCAGCCTGCGCTGGATCCCGAACCAAACCGAATCAACGGAGACACTGAGGAAAGCCGAGAGCCGTTGAAAAAAGGTAACAGAAACTTGATTTGGGTAGCAAGGGATCCTGGATGCAGAGGCTGAGCCACGCGTGGATCCATTTGGGTTTTGTACTTACTCATGAGGTAGGACTTGGAGTGGCTTGTCTGAATCTGCGGAGGAGTAATCGATGCCAATGCAGTTTAACAGATGGCAGAACGAAGATCAGCTTCGTTCCACTGTGCAGCCAGGGTTCTGTGCTCCTGCTTGCGTAAAGCTAATGATCTGCAGGGTGACCTCGTCTGAATTAAGGCAGGCCCTAGATGTGCACAGCCTGTGGTCTGGGCACTGCTCAAACAGACCTTCAGATGCTTGTCTTCCCCATCGTCTGGAAACCGAAACCAGCACGGCCCGATCTGCTGTGTTTAGGCAGTTGGTTTGCATGGATTTCTGCTTTCAAAGTCTTGCGCAGATGAGACTTCTGCTTCGATGCCAGTTTTGTAGCCTCACGATTTTCCTTATTTGCAGGAGGTCAGAATTACAGAAGGGCAGGGTGAGTAGGAGTTCGCAGAAGCCCGTCACGTGCAGTCTGTGTGCTGCCACCAGTGTAGGAACGTAAATGGGAGGAACCTCTGGCATGTTTTAGACATACCTGTTCTTAACCTCTATCCAAGGAAAGTCTGTAACTCCTCTAAATACCTCTGGGGTTTTTTCAGTGTTGCAATGGGAGTACTTTTTATTTAACCACTGCCTGTGTAACATGTATGGATTTCTTCCTGCTTGTGTGGCAATAGGGAACGGTTGATCACCTCTTATTTTATAACCACCAATTAAGTGTTTTCATTTTATAACCACCTATTACATCCTTAGTTTTGGGGTTTTTTTAATGATGACTAAGGTAACATAGCCTGTAGAATAAACATAGTTTTCTTAGCCTCTCATCATCCGTCATATTTCCTTGAGTTCTCATCACAACTATCTCTCTGTCCCCCTGCTCCCTCCTCTTTTTTTTTCCTCCAGGTATTTTATTTTGTAGACAACAATACGCCATCAACCACAGGTTTGCTTTGTGGCATAGTATAAGCACAAGAAAAAGAAAAAAGGAACAAAACTAAAACAGATCCTCCTACGCCTTCAATTTCCTTTCTGAAGCATACCATGCCTTTTCCTTTATCCTGGTGAACTGGAGAAAATCTGAAAGCAGGGAGATGAGTTTTGATTCTGCCCTCCAGAGGGCTCATAGCTCCTGCTAGTTCAGTGTAACCACCAGGCTCTGCTGTCTACACAGTTAATGTTACCCAAGTTATTCAAAAGTTATCCAAAATATGAACTAGAGCCATGGATGTGGCAGAGTTGCTTTAAATTCTGAGCTAGGGCAAAAGCTTTGAGGAGGTAAGAGGTGTTACCATGCAGGCTTGGGAGGCCAATACTCTAATCATAGAGCAGTTGACAAACTTTGTCAGATTTTTTTTTTTTTCCCTCCTTAGACCCTTTAGGATTTTTTTTTTTTTTTGTTTAAGTCCTCTTTGCCTGCTTCTTCTAGTTAATGGAATTTTCTGGCAGAAGTTGCAGAATGTGTAAAATCTGCTGACTGATTCAGTAGCTAATTATATTCAGGTAGTGCTACAAAAAGGAAAAAAAAAAGGTTTTGTGTCTGGATTTGAGTTAATCAGCCTTATCAGACCTCAGTGCCTTACAGCAGGCCCTTAGAGCAGCCCGGGAGCACCTTCACACGTGCTTCTCTACTCTGAGGGTGCTGAGGTGCTGGCACAGGTTGCCCAGAGAAGGTGTAGATGCCCCATCCCTGGCAGTGTTCAAGGCCAGGTTGGATGGGGCTTTGGGCAACCTGGTGTAGTGGAGGGTGTCCCTGCCCATGGCAGGGGGGTTGGAACTGGATGGTCTTTGAGGTCCCTTCCCACCCAAACCATGCTGTGATTCCCTGGGGGTCCCTGGTAGGAGTGCCAGTCCCCACGCCTCTGCCTCGGGGAGTTTCACCCCATCCATGCTTTGCAGTGCTGGATGCTCTTAGCTCGCGAGAATCCCATGAAACCAAAAAGAGCACCCATTAAGGACAATTACTGTGGACTGGAGAAAAGGGGGAGATGCTTGACTGGTGAGTCAGGAAGGCTGGATTTCAAAACACTGTCTGCCTCATCCTTCTCAGGCGTCCCTGGGAGCTGGCTTAAAAACTTGCTGAATGAGTTCAGCGGGGAATGTCTTTGATGTGGGCAGCGCCCCAACTTGTGGGTAACAGGGTTGATAGAGCTGTCGGTGATGCTGGCTGAAGGTAGAGACGGGATCTGAAGGATCTTGGAGGGGCCCGTGAAAGAGGGGGCATGGAAAATAACTGACAGCAGAGTCACTCTGGCAGGCCACAAGCTACATCCCAGACGAAGCCCGTGCAAAGGTGGGCTCCGTAAGGCGTAGGTTAACGATGGGGACCTTGAGGTGGAGATGGGTGGTCTGTTAGCAAGCCCTCTGGGAACTTCTTCCGTAGGGAGGCTGTGTCACATCAGGTTTTAAACCCCGAAGGTGACAGAAGGAGGCGACACTGCTCAGCTGCTTTCTAAGCAGTTTTACCAACTTACGGTCCAAAGCTGCGGAAGGCTGTTTACTTGTTTAGTTTTGTTAAATTTTACCACAAAACATAATTCATATTCCCGAGGTTTCAAGCAGTCCAGCAAAATTGATGGCTGAAGAAATAAAACTGACACTTGGGGTTTTTACTTTTGTTGTTGTTGTCAGTGAAGACCGTTGCACAGTATGGTTATACAAAATAATTGTTTTCAAAAGTTGAGTGGACCTTTTTGTTTCTAGAAAGACTGAGAAACCCTGTTTTGGGTGCTTAGTGCTTCAGAAAAGCAAGCCAAAGGAGCCGAAAGGAGAGAGTTTAGCACGAATAAATGTTACTCTGACAGGCTTTCAGTTTCTCATAGAACTTCCAAATTGTTCATCAACATTTCTTCCTACCTCAGCTGATATTTTAATTGTTAATAAAGGCAAGTAGCCTGGAAACTTCTTGAAACCCCTTTTTTAGACTGTGTACTAAAAAGCAGGTACCAGTCTTGTTACAGTTTAAAGTACCTTTAAAAGATGGCATTTAAGAGAAAACTGAAGCTGGCAGATGTGTTCTCTCGTGCTTATAACAATCAGTTGCTGACTTGTTTGGCTTTGTCTCTTCCAGACTGCAGCTGGCAGGTTAAAGCAAATGATCAACGCTTCTACGAACAGCCCCGGTTTAAGAGAACAATATTTCTGTGCTTTAAAAAAAGCAAATATGCAGTAAGTTTTCTTCACCTCAGTTGTGTGCTAATAGTACTTGCCAGGGTGAATACTTTCTTAATCTCAGGAAGATCTTTCCAACCACTGCTGATTAGTGTAAAAACCACAATTAGCACTTCCTTAGGATTTCCGACAAAGGTGGGAAGTATAACTGGTTTTGGGTTTGTGAATGGAAAATCAAGATGTCAAGAGACTTGTATAAGATGAGAGAGAGAATTAGAAGCCAGGTGTCCTCAGTCCAGATTCTTTTATCTGCTCAGCTACCGCTGTTGCGACCGTCCGCATAGATGTCATCTTTCATACAAGAAGTCTCAGGGTAGCATTGAGCAATATCCTGATTGAGCTAGACTGGGACAGTTTAAAAATAGACAGTTGGGAATGTCTAGTCATGTAAACAGCATCATTCTAAATCCACCTAATTATGATAAAGGAGACATTACAATCTCATTTATCAAGACAAAAGATTGAATTTTTTTTTTCCTCTTCCTAATTTTTTAACTTCTCAAAGTAACAACGCTGCGGTGCTGGTTGGGAGTGACAGAGCCTTGGGCTGCGAGGTTACATGTGGACTGTCTGGCTTTCTGTCAGGCACTGGCTCATGTGGTTCCCTTGGACCTGCTGAGATCCCTGCCTGCAGACTTGAGGCAGTTTGGGTTATCTCATGCATAAGTGTGAATGTTTAATAGTGAAACTTCTCCAGCTGGAGCTATTCAAACGGAAATCCTTCATGCTTGGACTAGGCAGGGACTGGCACTCTGAGAGTTAACCTTTGCTGGATCTGACTTGTCCCTCCTGAATAAGTCTAATTAACAGTCCTTTGTGTCTGGATTCCCTCCTGAATAAGTCTAATTAACAGTCCTTTGTATCTGGATTTGTAACTTGTAGTTTGATGCCTGGGAACAATTATATCCCTAATAGTGATATTGTGTATCCGGCAAATGATGTCGAAAGGCGTTGCAGAGATTGCCTAGGAGGAGGAGAGCGCTGGAGTTTCCTCCCTTTCTCTGTGCTCATCTGGCAGTGCCACGTGCACCGTGTCATCTGCCTGGGGACAGGCTGTAACCTTTCCACACGGTGACTGTGCAATGCCCTGAAGTCCTCCAGCTTCGACCTGAGCTGCCTTTTGGGGTATGTTAGTGAAACAGGCCTTTCCTCCCTTCTTTCATTAAGACTGACCCGTGTGAAGCTGCTGAGGAAAGGTACAACTCTAACGTAAAGTTCACAGGAAGGGTTTCACTGGTAAAATGCTTTACTTAAAAATATACATTGTACAATTGTAATGTAAGAAGAGTCTGCTGTTGTGATGATGTTTGGTTTTCTTCAACAGGGAAATGCAATCAAGACATACAAGTACAACCCTCTCTCTTTTTTACCACTGAATCTGTTTGAACAGTTCAAAAGAGCAGCCAACTTCTATTTCCTCGTTCTTCTCATTTTACAGGTAAGAAAGACAGAGAGAATACTGTGAAGTGAGTCTGAGGTGCTGATCTACTGAGCTGAGTAATGCTTGTGACACAATTCAGTGCTCTCCTGTTAGGAGATTGCAGGGTACTTTGTAAGGAACTTCGTCTGAACTACTACAGACACTAAACCCATCTTAGCAGAAATCTGCAACGACCTGACCTGGCTTTGCATTAGCTAGGGTGAGCTTGTTGCAGAGCTCATTAATTTCGTGGGGAAAAGCTGTTTCTTTTGGCAATTACTCTGTAAGACATGATGGCCTCAAGTTCCACTCGTGAATCAGAAGTGCCAACAGAAAACGGGAGCAACTGCAATTGTTAAAGAGGAGCCAATGCTGAGGTAGAGCAGCACAGGCAAACTCTCCCCTGAAAGTTTTGTTCATCTTCACGACTTGGTTTAAAATTCTCTCTCTGAAGTGTTGGTTTTCTTTCTTAGGTTATAGTGAGATCACTATTAAATGTCTGTCAGTTGAGCTTGATTGATAATCCTGCATCGAACCGATTTTATTTGTCTTTTGTAGTCGATTCCCCAGATAACTACCCTGTCATGGTATACGACGCTGGTGCCCTTGCTCTTGGTGCTGGGAATTACTGCAGTCAAAGACCTAGTGGATGACATTGTAAGAAACATGTTTTGTTAAATATGAGAAGCAAAAAAACCCCCTGCAGTTCATTTCTTTAATTGTGATACGCAGTAGGGAGTACATTCTCTGCTCCTGGTTTTCAGGCTCGTCACAGGATGGACAACGAGGTCAATAATCGGACGTGCGAAGTCATCAGGGATAGGAGGTTTGTACTGTTCCCTTCTTGACTTTGTAAGTAATGTTTGTTGTTGTTTTACTAAGTTTCATCACACATCTTAAATCATACGTGATAGGGAAAATTCAGCTTCTTGTTCTCTGCCGTCTCTGTGAAAACCTAATTGGAAATGGAAGACAATTGCCCAAAGGAGTAATTTAAACTTGATTCTGTGGCACTAAATCTGTGCTAAGAGCAGCTTCTTTGGGGAGCAGGACAGAAATTCATATGTAGGTGAAGAGGGAAGAGAAGATGTAGGTTGACTTCTAAGTTATAGACCCCCAACTAAGTTGCAGTTTCCAAAAAGAAAAAACACACCTTACCAAGATGTAATGTTTTTGTGCTAAGGAAAATTCAATTTTTCAAGATTTATAGAGTGCATAGTGTTCTAGATTAAATAGTAATAATTATTAAACTATCTTGATATTAGGTTCAAAAACACAAAATGGAAAGATATTAAAGTTGGTGATATCATTCGTCTGAAGAAAAATACTTTCGTTCCTGTAAGTGCTTCAGATGTATTTGTTTTATGTTTCTACAGAGTTCTGTAGGAGTCTCAACTTGGATTTATTTTATGCTTATTTGTTTGTTTTTCTAGGCTGATATTTTGCTGCTATCCAGCTCAGAACCAAACAGTCTCTGCTACGTAGAGACAGCTGAACTAGATGGGTAAGGCTCTATTTAAGGATTTCTTGGATTTAGTTTTGACTTACTGGTAAAAGAGCAAGAAGTGTGTATTTCAGACACTGCTTGTCAGTTGTTAAGCCACACCTAGAAAACTGTGTCCAGTTTTTCATTCCCACAATTCAAGGATCACTAAAAATTGATGAGGGTCCACTGGAGTGCCACAAAGATGTCTAAAGTGTTGGAGAACATGACATATGAAGAAGGGGTGAGAAGGACTTGGATTGATTCAGCCTGGAGAAGAGAAGGGTTCCAGTGTCTCAAAGATGGTTACAGAGGAGATACTCTTCACAAGAATGCACGTTAACAGGGCAAGAAGCAATGAGTACAAGTTGTGTCACAGGAAATGCTGTCTGTATTCGAGAATAATTGTTCTCCAGGTGGATAATTTTTACCATTAGAAGAGGTTGCCCAGACACATGGAATTTGAGAGTTGTAGAACACTGGAACAGGTTGCCCAGAGAGGTGGTGGATGCTCCGTCCCTGGAGACGTTCAAGGCCAGGTTGGACGAGGCCCTGAGCAACCTGATCTAGTTGGAGATATCCCTGTTCCTTGCAGGGGGGTTGGACTAGATGACCTTTGAAGGTCCCTTCCAGCCCTAATCATTCTATGATTCTATGATTCTAATTTCTCTCACTGGAAACAGTCAAGGCTTGGCTTGCCAGGGCCCTGGCTAACCTCGTCTCGGGTCCTGCTTCCAACACGAGGTTGGACTGTTGGTTACCGGAGGCCTCTTCTAACCTGGACTTTTCTATGACTTTAAACTTGTCTTGTTCCCTGTCGGTAGGAAAACAAAACTGCATATTTTTCTGTGGAAGTGTTTTACAGAAACTGCTTAGATAACATAAATCTTACCGTCTCTGTCATAACTTGTCTTGTTCCCTGTCGGTAGGAAAACAGAACTGCATATTTTTCTATGGAAGTTTTTTACAGAAAGTGCTTAGGTAACATAAATCTTACCGTCTCTGTCGCGTTGCTCTATAAATGGTGGTTTAGTTCATGTTGTCCGAAAAAACTAGTGCTGAATTCTTTTAGGAGAGTGTGTAATGATACAGGCTTCACCTCGTGAGGTGAAATGTTGGTTTTTCGGAATGAGCAGTGTATTCCTCACTCAGTCTGTAGTAACCTTAAAAGCAATGCCTTGTAACATCGTGCCAAACAACAAGTATCCGTGTGCGTTGCAAAAGGTTTGTTCTCTCTTGGAGCTTTTAACGATGTCAGTTATTAAATATTGCTTTCAAATGAGCGTTACTTCAAACTTAATTACTGCATCAGTAAAACAATTGGTAAAACAAAGATTCTGAGAAGCTTCACTGATCTACAGAGGGGTAAGGTGGCGCTTGTGAACAAAAGCCACCAGTGTGAGAGCTGGTCCCGTGGTTGACGAGTGCTTCGTGCCCACGCAAATGGTGGCTTTGCCATTGATTCAAAGTAGGAGGTTGGTACCGCCGGCATGTCGATTTGCTTGATTTGGTTTTGTTCAACCTTCTTCCCTGTATCTGTGTTTCTAACAAAAGAACCTTTTTATCCTTTCTTCTTAGTGAGACTAACTTAAAATTCAAAATGGCGCTGGAGGTGACACACAGATTCCTTCAGGAAGAAGGCGCGATGGCAGACTTCAATGGTTTGTACGGTTCTGTTCTTGCCCCTATCTGAGCGTTACTCACACAGTTTATGGTACGAGTAGGTAAAACGTGGGTGGGGACGGAAGTGCTGCCAGTGGTGCTGGTGATTCTGGAGTTGGTGGCTTCCTGGCTTTCGCCATGAGGCAGCGTGGGCAAGTTAGGGGAGCGAGGAAATGGCGCTGCTGAGCCAAGCGTGGTCTGAGGGTGAGGTGTGTGCATCAGTGAAATTCCGTACATTGAGGGTGCTGAGGCACTGGCACAGGTTGCCCAGAGAAGCTGCGGCTGCCCCATCCCTGGAAGTGTTCAAGGCCAGGTTGGATGAGGCTTTGGGCAACCTGGTGTAGTGGAGGGTGTCCCTGCCCATGGCAGGGGGGTTGGAACTGGATGGTCTTGGAGGTCCCTTCCAACCCAAACCATTCCATGATTCTATGATTCTATGATTCTATGAGCTATGGCACTGAGTACAGAGGATGGGGCGCTTTGTTGGTATTTGGCGCCCTGTTTTCCATGGAAAAAAAGTATGTGTGCTGTTGGGATTGGATCTGGAAAACATCTTCTAATGTCCTTTTCTTATTTATCATTATGATCTGGCTGCTTTTTGTGCGTGTCATGGAAACTCGAAGGGCAGTAATGCCTTCCCCCCCTGAGATCTGACATAAAGTTTCGTCTCAAACTGAAATTTTTAGCAATCCTAAAATTGCAAACACTTCAAAAAAATAAAAAAAGGACAACTTGCAACAGAATGACATGGAGAAGTAAGCAAGCAGGGACTGTTCATTGTTTCCTTCAGTATGAGAACTGAGGAACACAAAGTGAAATGAGCAACTGACAAATTCAGAATAAACGGGAGGGAGATGCTTTTCCACACAATACGTAGCGAAGCTAAAATTCAGTTTGCCAAAAGATGTTGTGGATGTCTAAAGTTTGTGCTTTCAAAGAATGTCTCTCGAGCAAATTTACATGGAGGGAGAGCCTGCCCACAAAAACCAATACAGCACTGTGTGTTTGTACACTCTAAATTTCGAATAAATTGCTTATTCTCAAAAAACCCTCAACCTTATGAAGTAAAATTACTTGTATGGTGGGTACCAATTAATGCATTTTTATTTAACTGTAGTATATTAAACGTTCTCCTCCAAATCCTTCAGGTCTGATTGAATGTGAAGAACCTAATAACCGACTGGATAAGTTTGCAGGAACATTATTCTGGAGAAATATGAGTTATTCACTGGATGCTGATAAGATTTTATTACGTGGATGTAAAATCAGGAATACAGACTTCTGCCATGGAGTGGTCATATTTGCAGGTATTTATGAATTGAACACGTGTTAACGTTTACCAACTAAAAGCATGCCCTACAGAGTGAAATTACTTTTTTATCTTACAAACATTGATTGTATTTTATGTCTCAGTTTTGTAAAATAGTAATACTAGTACTTGTTTGTGTAGCTTTCCTTTTTTTTTTCTTTCTTTATTTTTAGGCGCTGATACAAAAATAATGAAAAATAGCGGAAAGACAAGATTTAAAAGGACAAAAATTGACTCCCTTATGAACTACATGGTTTATACTGTAAGCCTTTTTGTTGAAAATTCAGGTTTTGAGTTCATTTTTAAGTGAATAGAGTGAATGCACATTTAGGAAACTTTTTTTTTTTTCTTTTGGTGTAATAAGTATGTTTCCACTTTTTGACCTGATGGTTTGGGATGAAGTAGGAGGGGCTGTAAAAAAGTGCCTCGCTGTTGGTGGGATGTGCGACCCTGCAGGTGTAGGACAGCCTGCACGATGAAGGCAAGTGCATCAAGCCCAGCGTTGCAAGTGCTTCTGCTTGTCTGCGACCCTAAACCGTTGGACGGAGACCTGAGGACCCAGGTCCTGGTCCAGAGGTCCGTTCAGCCTGAAAAGTTCAACACCCATGGCTCTTGTCCTTGGTCAGCACCCGTGGAGGGGGGGTGTGAGGAATACCTGCTGTCCTACAGCTCTGCCGAGCGTGATCGTTTTGTGGGAGAGATTTGCTCCCCTTCTTACTTACAAACATGCGTAATATTCTGGTTTGAACATGAAGATTTGGGATTTATGTCAAGAAAACACTTCCGAAGTGTCACAGGCCTCTCTGTGTACGCTGTAGATTTTCGTCGTGCTCATCCTGCTGTCGGCTGGCCTCGCCATCGGACACACCTACTGGGAGCAGCAGATTGGCAACTCCTCTTGGTACCTCTACGATGCGCAGGACTTCAGTCCTCCATACCGTGGCTTCCTCAACTTTTGGGGATACATCATTGTTGTGAACACCATGGTTCCCATTTCCCTCTACGTGAGGTAGGTAAATGCCTTGGCCTTTAAATAGCTCCACTGGGGATAGGGTTGGATTACTGCACTTAGGGATTCATGGAGAACAGAATTTCCCATTGGCAGCAAGAGGTGCAGCTTCACCTTGGATGGGAACGCGTGTTCTCTGTCTTTCTGAAAAGCCACTGGATACACTCACCCTCTTCGCTGAGGTTTTACAAGGAAGTGATCTGTATTGCTTTCGCATAAAATCATCGCTCAAGGATTTTCAAGATATCCAGCTTTTCTTACAACATTAAGCATGTCTGCTCTATACTTCACTAAGGAAAAAAATTCTCCAAGCAGTGATCCCTGGCAAAATTGGAGACTAGGTCCTACTAGTATTTAACTTCTTAGTCTAATTCTGCAGTCACAGTGCGTGAAGGAAACTACTTGAAGAAAAAAAAATAAAATAGAAGAATCATAGTTTCCAGCTTTATTCCTCAAAAGGTGCAGTCTTACTGCTCCATGAAGTATGAATAATTTTGCCTTTGACAAACCTGTCTGTAACGTATTTGAAATCCTCCAGCCTCCTACTGGCTCTCTCCAAATTGGATTTGCAACACTATTCCCAAGTGGGATTTCTATTTGGTATGGGAGCAGCACCATCGATCCTTTTGGCATGATAAGGCTGTAGAGGCGTTTCCCCAGTTACTGGGGTGTTGAAGCTGGGTAGTGTGGTCTGACATCAGTTTGAGTGGCCCCTGTTCCTGTTTAGTGGTGATGGTGCTCTGGGAAACAATTGTTTTGTCTTCAGCTCCTGGGCTATATAAGCAATTTGAGTCCCGGAAAATTGCCAGTGTCCTCTGGATCCAGTAACATGTTGTTATTTTGAAATAAGAGGTGCAGCTGGGAGTGAGAGCATTCATTTTATTTCGTTTAGTGTCGAAGTGATCCGTTTGGGCCAAAGCTATTTTATTAACTGGGACCTGCAGATGTATTACCCTGAGAAGGACACGGCTGCCAAGGCCCGGACCACCACGCTGAACGAGCAGCTGGGGCAGATCCACTACATCTTCTCGGATAAGACAGGGACACTCACGCAGAACATCATGACGTTTAAAAAATGTTGCATAAACGGCCAAAGATACGGTAAGTCTGTGACACGCTGCTGCGCCCCGTGGTGAAAACCATGGCTAGCACAGGAGCTCCAGTTTGTGACAGCAGCACGGAGGGAAGACCCTGCACATCCCAGTGTAGCCCAGCTGGCAGCCCTGACCAGTCTAGAAAAATGAGCAGGAATTTGAATGCTTGTTTGAAATCAGGTGCATACGAATCTTTTTAGTTTCAACTCACCTTCCACAATTTCACCCTGGCATTGAGTAAAGCTCCAGTAACATTGCATTGGTGGAGTTTTCCCCACAGTTTTCCCCTTTAAAAGGTGGAAACTGGTGGGCTTGAGTGGAAACTTCCCAGTAGGAGTTCCCAGAAATGAGTAATTTACAGAATGTTTTACTTTTGGTAGAAATGCTTCAGGGGCAAAACGAATCTAGAAACAAATAAGAAAATTGAATAAGAAGAGCAGTTTTCCATTTCAGTGTTAGTTGCTTCCATTTCCAGTCTTGTCTGGATTTCAGCAGCTAAAACACGCAGCATATGTGCTCCAAAATCCTTGTTGGTGGGTTCATGCACCAGAGAACACAGTGTGCTCAAGCCATGTGCTTTTTCAACATCCTCCCTCTGACGAGGGAATTGCTGACAGTGAAAGCTCTGTTAAAGCCAACAGTGATTTTTAGGATAATTCCACTCCGTGCTTTT